TGCATCTTAGGAATTCTGACTTCTCCTGACATTCTGACTTTAAACAGTGGTTCAAATTAGACAATACAGTAACCTGAAAACATTTCCATTACTTTTTAAAAATTGCTTTTAAAAATAGCAGCAGTGCGGGACCTCAGACCAGATACAGACTGCAACGTAAACTCTTCAATGCCATTGCCTGAACGCAAAGCTTTACTCCAAATTTTCTTCAGTCTGTTTCTTGCACCTGGTAGTGCCATTAGATATAAGTAGAGGCTGCAGATGCACCATACATTTCAAAGCACTTCCCACAAAGAATCCTGGCAGCTGTTGTTACTCCCCACAGAGCCACAATTCCCAGCACATTTAACAAACTACAGTTCCAAGGATTCTTGGGGGGTGCTTTAAATACGTGGTGTGTACGCAGCCTTAGACTGGACTTGGTAGTCTTGTTGGAAAGGCTCCAAAATCACTTCCAAATGTGGTAAGCTAAGGTTACCAGATTTTTTCCAATGAATCCGGGGACACTTTTCAACTTCAATGGATTTTGTATGGGGACTGATCTGTAAATCCGAGGACTGTCCCAAGGAAACGGGGATGTCTGGTAACTTTACAGTAAGCTAGCCTTGCAATGTTTCAGGGCCCTCCTGCTCATTCTCCAGAGTGGGATTCTGCTCCATATTCCTCCCCTGATGGCATCAATCATTTGCTCTTATATCAGGGACAAATAGCAGCTTCTGCGGCTGGGGGTGCAGTTGGAGATTTTTGTTGGGGTGGGGGTGGGGGAAGCACGGAAGGAAAGGATTGACCACCCATGCACCATGATCCAGATCCAGGTCAGGCACTCTCTGGCTGCTGTTTTATTAACAAAAATTGTGAAAGGTACAGAAATGTGATCACACACTGAATGCATTGTTTAAGTCTGGCCCCTTTGGATTCAACACAATTCTCAGAGCCAATTTCTGTTCTTGCTCAATGGGCAGTGCGATTGCCGAATCACAGAAGAGAGGCACGCAGCCTTGGGTGTTTGCTGCAGACTTAAGCCACAAGTCTTGGCTCCCAATTCTCTTCTTCTTTTGCAACTCCACAGGAACACAGACTCCACCCAGTGACATACTCACTTTGCACAAGGACCTCCTGGCAACTGCCTGATTTTCTTGGCCCCGGCTGACATTTGTAGAGTTTACCCGTTTCATTCACTCCCCCCATCTGGAGTGGGGCACCAACCAACAGCCTGCGGGAGCAAAAACACATGGAGACAATTCAGGGCTGTCTCTTCTGCCACTCCTGGGGACTGAATGATGAGACAGAAAGCTCTCCAAGGACCCAGAGAGCCAGCAGTTGCATACCCTCCATTTCTTCCGCTTCCGAACTGCGCTACACTCTGCCCAAAGCCCAGTGCTGCTTCCTGGAAGACGGTTGGCTGTTCGGTGTCCAAACTGAATCCATGGCATGGCATCAGCACTGCAGGGGATGATCAAAGAACTTCCTCAAGCTTTTTTTTTTATACAGAAAGAGGGAATTTATTTGTTTTATTTATTTATTAAATCGGTATACTGCCCTTCATCTGAAGATCACAGGGCAGTTGACAACATTAAAATACAAAAGAAAAACACAAAATGTACAATAAAAATGAAAGCCAAAGGAAACCAGTTTAAAAGGACATCCCACAAACCCATTTAAAAGGACATCAAATTTTAATCACCAAAGGCCTAGCGTCACATTCTGAGCATTTGTAAAGTCTCTCTTCAGTGTGCATTCTTTTATGTTTAATATGATTGAATGGAGAAGTAAAGCCCTTGTTGCACTCTGAGCATTTTTATCTCCTCTCCACTTCATAGGCTCTCTGGTGTGCGATAAGACCTGGCAGGGAAGGACACCTCCTATCACAGTCTGAGCCTCTCCCCTGGTGTGCTTGAAGGCTGGTGCTGTAATTGAAGTTCTGCCCATGTTCTGAGCATTTATAAGGCCTCTCTCCAGGGTGGATGAGACCCCAAAGAGGCCAAAATAGTTTGGCAAATGTTGGGCTAGATTAACCAGCTAAATCTTAGAGCAGGAGTAGCCAACATATTGCTCTCCAGGTGTTGTTGGACTTCTCATCAGCCCCCCAACCAATAGGCAGAAGTGACGGGAGTGGTAGTTCAACACCTGGAAGGCACCGCATTGGCTACCCCTGTCCTAGATGATTATCAAACTTTGGGTCTCGCAACCCATAGTTGAGGGTGATCAAGAGACACCTGTAAGGAGGTGTCTTGAATTCTAGTGGGCTGGCCATGATCTGCTGCTGCTAGATGGCAAATGGCATCTGAGGGTCTCCCCTGAACTGGGATTTTGTTAGGAGCAGTTGTAAGGAGAAACCATTGCTCACTCTGTTATCTACTTCCGTCAATAAAATCTCTATATGTGGCCCACTTTCCTCTCATATTTCAATTTTTTGCTCACTCTAGGTCTTTGGGTCAGTGCCTAGAGCAGCAGGCAATGCATATTGTCAGGCAAGAGGGGGTGAGTGTAAGATTGGAAAAAATGAGAAACGGAGAGAGAGCAACAATGACACATTTGCTCATTCCAAGCTATAACATCCCCATTTTTTCTCTGATAGTGGATCCTGATCTTGAGGAAGATACCGTGCCTTTAACAATGCATGACAGGTAAATCCACAGGTGTTCCTTTACCTCAACACAATGGAGTTATGGTGATGAGAAGGGGAAAGCTAGGCCTGTTGAACTTCTGCCTATTAGTACACTGTCCCAAATCACAGAGGCTCTAATTAGAAAAAGGGTGATGCCCCAATGAGGTTTACATCACAATTTCTGGGGAATGGGTCCAGTTACAGATAGGTAGCCGTGTTGGTCTGCCATAGTCAAAATAAAAAAATTCCTTCCAGTAGCACCTTAAAGACCAACTAAGTTAGTTCTTGGTATGAGCTTTCGTGTGCATGCACACTTCTTCAGATACACAGATACGCATGCACACGAAAGCTCATACCAAGAACTAACTTAGTTGGTCTTTAAGGTGCTACTGGAAGGAATTTTTTTATTTTGGGGAATGGGTGTATGTGAAGGAGGGCATGAGACAGCAATGAATGGCTGATGTAGGGGGGAAAATTAGGATGCTGAAAGCATAATTCTTCAGAATGCAGGACAGGAAGTAACCATCTGGTTATCTCTGCCAGACTAACTGGCTTTGTGACCTTTGAATTTGTTTATGCTGGGTCACACTGCAAACCCACGCAGATAGTACTTGCAACACATTTTCTTCATGCTATGGCCTCGGACATAGGCCCTCCTGTGAAACAAATAGAGAAGAGAGATCCTTGGTGACAGGAAGTTGGGGGAGGGAGGAAATGACTAAGTTGCATGGTTCTGGTCGAAGAAGAGTCTGATGACCAAAGGATATATGGATCCTCTGCTCGCGACTGCAGCGGGATCCCGCCGCCATCCGTAGACATTCACTCCATAAGACGCACAGACTTTTTAGGAGGGAAAAAGTGTGTATTTTGGAGCGAAAATACGGTATATATTCCCAGGATTCTTTGGGGAAAGCCATGCTGCCTTGAGGCAACTGTCTCAGCCTAGCTCACAGGCAGGCCAGCTCTGATCGGTGAGGTCAAATGCACTTGTGTAATATTTTAGTTTATTGCACCAAGCTCCTGTTAGGGATGGACCAATCTGTGAAGTTTGGTTCTCTCAGTTGCTAACTTTTCCATTTCAAATTCAGTCCTCCAAATTTCTGCAGCAGTTCTTGTTCTTCTTTTTCTTCTTCTCAACCATTCATTGCATAATCCAAAACACACATTACAAATAAAAACATACTATACCTTAGGGTTACCATATTTCAAAAAGTGAAAATCCAGACACAAAAGTTGTTGAGCTTTTTGGGGGAGTGGCAGAAATTCCAGACATATGCCAGCCCTACATACATACTTTGACTAAGTATTGAGTATAAAATACACCCTCTATCATACACTATTTTTCTATCCTTCCTGCTTGCCTGTAAAATATTTCTGATATTAGATTTTGTTGACTATTCTTCCATTGGCCTGTTACATCTTTCCTGCGAGCTATACCATTGCACCTCATTTATGGGATGCTCTCCTCAGGGAAGCTCACCTGTCACCTTATTTACATATCTTTAAACATCAGGCAAAAATAGTCCTCCTCCCAGGTCTTTTAAACTGTATGTGAGTATATTGCTTCTGTTTGCTGCTATGCTGTGTATTTTTATATTATAAACTGCCCTGTGATACTCAGATGAAGGGTGGTATAGAAATTTAATTATAAATAAATAATAAAATCAACCTTGTCATCCTGCAGAGTCCTAATAAAAACTTATCTCGGGAATTCTCAGCTTACCTTAGTTCTTATTCACATTAGCAACTTTCCTAGATACTCTTGGTTTCTTATTTTGTAGCTAGAGTAGAATTCTTGGAAATATATTCATTTTTATTATATCCTTACCAATGAGGAATGGTTTACCTCATCCCAATTCATTAGATCTTTTTGTTCTCGTTTCTGCAGAGGATGGCGATTCATCTCATAAAGATCTTGCCATTTTGAAGCGATATTTACTTTCACAAATGTTCTAACTGTTGATCCATTTATCTTCTTGACCAACCCAATATCAACATTTAAGGAGAATAATTCACTTTTGGCTAAATTAACTTTATACCTGAAATGTTATTTAATTTTATTGCAATAATTCTTCTCTATTTGTCGGAAAATATTACCATATTACCTGTGTATAGGGTTGCCATACGTCCAGAGCTGAAGTAGCACCCAGAATTTTTGGATATCATCAAAAAGCACAACAACTTTCCCCCCCAAACCATTGTGTCTGGAGTTTTACTTCTTGAAATATGGCCACCTTACCTGCATATAAACTTATTTTATATTTGGTGTGCCCTGTCGTGTATCTTTTTGTTTTTGCCTGATAGCCCCAGCTAACATTTCTAAAGTCATTATAAACAGCACATCTGTTATAATGAGGAGCTTTGACCATTGATCATTAGTTCTGATATTGGAGCATTATAGATAATTCATATCCATTTACATAATTCAGATTCAAAATTATATTTGATCATACATTCTTTCAGAAAAGGTCTTTCTAGCCTGTCAAACTCTAGCCAGTCAAACACTTTTTCTGAATCTAAAAATACACATTTTGTCAGTATATTCCCTAGTACAATGCATTTTTGAACATCATTTTCACTTATATATTTCTTTTGTATATATATTCCCCTAATGCATGCATTTTTGTAAACAATGGTTGCAGAACTGTATCACACTATTGTATTTCAAAGGATAGCTGCATTTGAGAAGTGCAAATTGGAAAGTTTCTCATTAAAATGCAAACAAAATTAAACCTGCTTCCCAATCCCTAGCTTCCCCAAGCCCACCACTGTACCAGCTGAAAGGCTGGTGAGGACAATTTCATGATATATGGATATAAGAGCTAAATGGAACCTCCATTTTCAAAGGCATTTCACATGCAACCATTTTCATGGACATGATTGCATGGCATGGAACTGACTGGTTCCATCTCTGACTTCCATGTTTCCATTGGAAGGTCGGAACAGCTTCTACATGTATAAGGGTCTCATAGGATTGATAAAGCCACTTCCACCCTTCGAAGGAGTGGAGTTGTGGGCTTCACGGCCCCACCACGCGTGGTGGCTGGAGCCCAGCTCCGTGCGATTGGGGGGATTCCCGGCCTCGTCATCCCCTTGCCAGCCAATTGGCTGGCTCTGGGGGCATGGCCTGCCCTATTTAAGGCAGGACACAGCCCTCTTTCCCTGCCTGCCAGCTGTTCCTGTTCAGTTTCTCATTTTTCCATCCTTCCAACGTCACATCACTTCAATTGTTTATTTTTCTAAAGCCCCCACAAAAATTAACCAGCATTTTAAAGTGGATTTCTCTCAATATAAATATTTTTGTTTGCAGTTTTTGCCTAATATAGACATTTTTGCAAGTCATTTCCTCCACTGTGTTTCAGTTTGCAAATTGTTTGGGGAAGTGTGAATTAGGCAAGTCCACTTTTAAATATGATCTATACAGAATTCCCCCTCACATTTCTAGGATATCAGCACATAATAAGAACCCCTAAATTCTGGCGGGTTCCCTTCCCAGCCACACAAATGAAGTTTACCTGCATACATGTCCTAATGGGTGGGACCAGTAAAAAAAGCCTGTTTTCCTCTTCACAGATTAACAGTAACGTATATGTTTGTGAGAACCCAGTTAATATATCTCTAGGAAGGTCTGGTACAAGAAAATTAGGGATGTCAAGCTATTAATTTTTTTATTGATTAATTATCTGCATATTAGAGAACTGTTTGAATTTCAATACTTGAATGTTATCAAATTTCATTACATGGGTCTTTTCAGATATTAGAGGAAATGTGAGAACGCTTACAATTTAATAAATAAAAGCTACCACATTGCTCTGGTTATCTCCCGCTTGGACTACTGCAATGCACTCTTTGTGGGGCTACCTTTGAAGGTGACCCGGAAACTACAACTAATCCAGAATGCGGCAGCTAGACTGGTGACTGGGGGCAGCCACCGAGACCACATAACACTGGTCTTGAAAGACCTACATTGGCTCCCAGTATGTTTCCGGGCACAATTCAAAGTGCTGGTGTTGACCTTTAAAGCCCTAAACAGCCTCGGCCCAGTATACCTGAAGGAGCGTCTCCACCCCCATCGTTCTGCCCGGACGCTGAGGTCCAGCGCCGAGGGCCTTCTGGCGGTTCCCTCATTGCGAGAAGCAAAGCTACAGGGAACCAGGCAGAGGGCCTTCTCGATAGTGGCGCCCGCCCTGTGGAACGCCCTCCCATCAGATGTCAAATCGATAAACAACTACCTGACATTCAGAAGACATCTTAAGGCAGCCCTGTTCAGGGAAGTTTTTAATGTGTGATATTTTAGTGTACTTTTGGTTTCTATGGAAGCTGCCCAGAGTGGCTGGGGAAACCCAGCCAGATGGGTGGGGTACAAATAAATTATTATTATTATTATTATTATTATTATTATTATTATTATTATTATTATTATATAGAAGTAGCAGGAAAGCCCCCTTTATACAACCTTTGTTATTTCCTACAGCAGTAACAACAGTAACCATAGTAACAAATATCCCCAATGATTAATCAACCCAGCTTTAGCTGATTAATCTGCTGGCTGAAGCTAGCAGATCCAATTCTGTAGTTTTAAAAAAGTGTCCACTGCTATGCATTCTGTTCTTTTTCAAGGGTGAGTGATTTGCCCTTTGTCGTGTACTTCTGCTTTGCTCTGCCCTAGTGGATTTTTGTTTACAAGAAAATCAACTGGTCTTGCCCCAGCACTTCTGTTCTAGCTCAGAGACTCCGCTTTTCCAAATAACAATAAGGAGGCACTTACCTGTAGCACACAAATAGATGAGCAGCGGCAGAGAGTCCATCCTTGGCTAAGTGTTGGCTGTGCAGAAGCCTTGGGGAGGCTGGGTGGTGATTAGAAAGATTAGGCATCACCACACCCTCCAGAAGTGGGTGTTAAAGTTATGACCCTGTATGAAAAAAAAGCGGTCGGATGAAGCAAACTTCTGTGTCCTTTGCAAAACAGAGGGAACAGAGGGATCGAAGGGGAAGCTGTGTCAAGAGCAGTGGTAGATGAAAGCATGTGGGATGTGAGGTTTCACCCACAAGTGGCCAAATATAGTACTCCATCAATACATTTCCTCTTCTATTATATTCTCCATTTCTACATTCACGTTGTGAGATGATTTTGATAGTTATGACAGCCATTCTTTATCCATATAAAAGTCACAGGAGTTAAACCAGAGGCATCTCACTGACATATTAGATACACCTGCCTGGCAGACCTGTGTGCTGAGAGAAAAGTCTGTGTTCTTATTCTGGCCAAAATGTCCTGCAGTCAGCATAAGGAGAAATCTGCTGGAGCCAGAACAAGAATGACCTTCAGTATGTTGACTTACGGCAAATGCCTTTCACTCTGGACAATGGGACCATTCAACAGATTTGTAACTAGCGGCCCAAACCCTCACACCTTGTTAATCCACAGCTGTGAACTGAGAACAATATCTTTCAGCCACCAAATGCCTGGGCAAACAGGATTTTTAAAAAATTCTTCCCGTACTTCCCGTACTATTACTACCACTGTAGTAATACATTGGTGTGTATGGCATTTGACAGTATGAAGTTAAAATTATGGGACAGCAGAGACAAGTGAGGAAGCGTAGAATAAAGGCATTCAATTCAGTGGCACCTATTTTAGCTTTGTTCCAGTAGGGGATGAAAGGCAGCTCCTGAGGAAGGATTTGAAGAAAATGAGGAAATTATAGCAGTTATGCAAAAGAAAAGAGGTGGATTCAAAGTCTGCAATCAAATGTGCTTTTTGCTGTCCCCAGGATATGTAGCACTCTATCATCTCTTCTGTTGTAAACCAACTTTATCAGCAGATGTAGCTATTTGTTTGATACTTGTTAATAGTAAAGTCAGGTCCTTTGGTTCAGTAAAGGAGGTGCTTGGTTCAGCTGGCATTCCACCTACGCCCAAGAACAACTGGCTCCTTTTATTTCATTCTGTAGGTCACAGTAAAATGAATGCATCCTCTAGGCAGGCACAACAGAGGAACTGATCCTTGGTGAGACTGGCTGTCCTCATTGACAAGACATTGCTTATCCTCATGGGATTGAGAGAAGGGACACCTCCGGCAATCAAGTCCCAATATGATATGGACTTAGGACACCTTGTCCTGTCTGGCTCGTCCCCTTCAACTCTGTTCCCTAAGAGCGCTCATTATGTGGCAGGAAACTTGCGCATTGTATCTGTATCTGTTTCAGAGTCTTTGGTCTGTCTGGCCTCTGTTTCAACATCTCCAGTGGTTTCTGGTGCCCATTGGGACTGGTAGGGCAGAAGGCCAGTAGTAGTTGGAGCCAGAGCCACTGGCAGGCAGAGACAGCTAATTCTAGCTTAGCCCTTGTCCTCCTCCCTGCTGAGATCTACAAGGAAGAAGCTGAAAGGCAGGTAGGTATACCCTGGACTGGATATACAGGCAGATAGGGGACAGACAAAGGCTGGTGGGGAAGGGACCTCATTTACCCTAATGGACCAGGATCCACTGACTCATCTCAGTGGGTTAGAGTGGGGTGGCTGATACCGCCAAGGTTGCAGGTTCAATCCCCGTATGGGAAAGCTGCACATTCCTGCATTGGATTAGATGATCCTGATGGTCCCTTCTAAAACTATAGTTCTATGATTCTATGATTGTCTCAGGATGAGGTCCCTACCATGGTACCCGTGGCTACCATGGTGCCCTCAGGCACTCCCCTTGGTACTTGCCATAGCTCCTACTTTTTCGGTTTTTAAAAAATATTATTCAATTGTTAGGGGTGCTGCCTGAGTGTGGGTGCTTTCTGCCTTTTCCCCTCTGTGCTTCACTCGCTTATAGGTGAGGTATGAGACACTTCCTGCCTGCGAACTTGCAGCAAGGCTCAAACTAGGTGATACAGTACTGTCACTACAAGGCTAGCAACCATACCAGGATCCTGAGGACAGAGGCAGATTTAAGGGAGTGAGGAGCCATGGGGGTGCCACAGGAGGCCACAACTATGAGGTAGAGGGGAAGGCAAGAGGCAGGGGGCAAATTTTGAGCGTTGCACAGGGTATCACTGAGATTTGACACCCCAAAGTCTGAGGAACAGCACCCCTGTTGAAAGGCCACTGAATTTTTGTTATTTTTATTTTTTGTATGTGCTCTGTAGCTGTCCCCTGCCCCAAGCTGTTTATTTTGTACATCACCTTGGGATATATGTGGAAGGCGATTAAACAGTAATAGTAATAATAGTAACAATAATAAGTCAGTTTCCACATATATCCCAAGGTGATGTGCAAAATATATTGCCTTGGGACATATGCGGATGGTGAATAATAATAATAATCCTGGGAAGTATTAAAGGTGCTGGGAATTGTAGCTCTGTAGTGGGTAAACCACAGCCCCCTTGGATTCTTTGAGGGAACCCATATGCTTTAAATGTGCTTCAAATGTGCTTGAATGTACTGTATTGGCCCGAATATAAGCCACACTTCCCCCCCAAGTTCTGACCATGAAAAGTTAAAGTGCGGCTTAAATTTGTGACCTTACAAAAATTGGCTTTTACGAAACAGAACATAAAACATTTTATTGCCGATTTGCAAGCTTGAGACTGTTGTGCAGTTAATTCTAATGTCATTCATCACTTTACAGTGCAGTATTGATTTTTTATTTGCATTTAATTTGCATTTATGGTGCTACGAACAGGTGTTTAACCCATTTGTGGGTCCTTTCTAGTATGCATAAGATTTTCTTCTACATTTGCCATTTAGGGGTGTGAGTGCCTGCAGAACTTTAAGGGAGCAGCTTATATTCAGATATTGTCTTTTTTTCTTTCCTCCGTTGAATTTTAAAGGTGCGGCTTATATTCAGGTGAGGCTTATCTTTGGGCCAATACAGTATGGTGAGGATGTGAATAACATGGGCTCAACCAATTCGATCCTTCTGGCTTTTGATTCAAGATGAAATATTTTGAGAGATGTCCTGATGCCTAATGGGGGGTGGAAACCAGACTCTGCCTTTTTGTTTTGCAACTTCTTGCTCCGTTGCAGGAGATGGTCTCAAAGAGGGAGTAAGATCTAGAGTGTTGCAAGGAGGCAGATCAGGAAGATAAATTATTACACCTCAACCACTTCCCCTTTTCCTGTGCTGAGCAAGCTTTGCATCCGGGCTCTCTTGGTGCTGGTCTGGCTCTCTGGTGAGCTGCAGCAGGCGTTTCATCTGCAGCATCTTATCTTGCGCTGATGTCCACAGCAGGAGTGATATAATCAGTAGATGGATTATAGCAGCTTAAGAGTGTTATATTGATTAAATGCTTATACCTGAAGGAGCGTCTCCACCACCATCGTCCAGCCCCACTGAGGTCCATCTCAGAGGACCTTCTGGTGGTTCCCTCCTGCGAGAAGTGAGGTTACAGGGAACCGGGCAGAGGGCCTTCTCGGTAGTGGTGCCTGCCCTATGGAATGCCCTCCCAGCAGATGTCAAGGCAATAAGCAACAATTTTACTTTTAAAAGACAACTGTTTAGGGAAGTTTTTAATGTTTGATGCTCTATTGTTTTTAATATTTGGTTGAAAGCCGCCCAGAGTGGCTGGGGGTTAATAATAATAATAATAATAATAATAGAATGTTGAATCTTCTAATGGATTTGGTATTATGGCTGCTGCGTACACAACATTTAAAGCCCCTCTCCAGGAATCTTGGGAACTGTGGTTTAATCCTTCACAGAGCTACAATTCATGGAATCATAGAATCATAAGAGTTGGAATGGACCCCGAGGGTCATCTAGTCCAACTCCCCTTCAATGCAGGAATCTCAAATAAGGCATCCATGACAGATGGCCATCCAACCTCCTTAAGTAAATAATTCAAAGGTACTATAGGATAGTTACATCTCAAAACACATCTTACAACATCCAATCTCCAGTCATGATCACAAACCGATGCCTTTCTTAGAATCACAGAATTGGAAAGTTGGAAGGGAACCCAAAGGTTTCTAGTCCAACCCCCTGCAATGCAGGAATCACAGGTAAGAATTCCTAATAGGTGGCCATCCAATCTCTGTTTAAAAACCTCCAGTGAAGGTGAGTCCACCATCTTCTGAGCGAGTCTCACTGCTGAACAACTCTTACCATCATTCTTCATTCAGAACACTCCAGCAGTTTCCTAGTCATTTGGAGATATTTGCCTGCAATTTTCCCAAGCAAAAGTTGGGGTCAAAGTAGCTTGGCTGTGGGCCTTTAAGGGAGATGAATTGGTCACTTGCTATCCAAACTGGACCTTACCCAGTCACCGTGTATAAATTGGGGTGTGTGTGTGTAATGCAGCATGTGAAATTTACATGTATGTAAATTAGGGATGGGGTGTGGGAGAAAATTGATTCACACTTAAAGGTGAAATCACCTAATTTCCAAAGTAATAAATGAAAACACAGCCATCTTTTGAAATTTGTGCTTCTCTGAAGTTTGCAGTTCAGTTCTCGTCACGCAATGTACACAAAAATGCATATAACCTGGGTAAAATGTGCATATTAATGCATATAGCAGAGAAAAGAACAAGCAAAAATACATGTTTATTAGGGGGAAATGCTTTGCAAAAATATGTATCTTTAGAGAAATTTGCACAGAAATGCTGGTGAGTTTTCATGAGGCTCAGGATTCCAATTCTGAGCAATTTGCAATCCCATGTACGTCTATTTGGAAATAAATTCCTACTAGTTGCCTAGGGAAGCAGGTGGTGCTGTGGTCTAAACCACAGAGTCTAAAGCTTGCTGATCAGAAGGTTGGCGGTTCGAACCCTCGCGACGGGGTGAGCTCCCGTAGCTCGGTCCCTGCTCCTGCCAACCTAGCAGTTCGAAAGCACATCAAAGTGCAAGTAGATAAATAGGTACTGCTCCGGCGGGAAGGTAAACGGCGTTTCCGTGCAGTGCTCTGGTTCGCCAGAAGTGGCTTAGTCATGCTGGCCACATGACCTGGAAGCTGTACGCCGGTTCCCTCGGCCAATAAAGTGAGATGAGTGCCACAACCCCAGAGTCATCTGTGACTGGACCTAATGGTCAGGGATCCCTTTACCTTTACCTTTAGTCAGTGCCTCCTGAGCATGACGGCTATGTTCTCCTTCCACTGTTGGAGGCAGTGTGCCTTTGAACACCTGTTTCTGGGGCTTCCAAGTGGGGAGAGTTGCTCTTGTGCTCAAGTCCCACTTGTGGTCTTTCCATAAATATCTGGTCAGCCACTGTGAGGAAATCACTTTGCCCTCCCATTGAAATTGTAATTGCTAGGGATTTTTAACTGCATGCTCATTATTCAAACTACAACTCCCAGGAAACTTTGTGGGAAGCCATAGCAGTTAAAGGGGTATACAGAACAACATCATTTTGCAATGCGTATCTGCTGAGTAGAGAGAGAAAGGGTATTGTGGGTGACTTCATTCTGCAAACATTTTGGAGTTCCTGTTTGTACATATTAGGAACAGAAAGTATAGTTGTTTTGAAACAAGTAGACAGATCATGAACTACTCATTGTCTGAGGAGTTCCTCTCTTTTAGAAAGAAAATGCCCCTTTCTTCACCTTCTGAAGACAAGATAGCTGTTTTTAAAGACACTTGAAGGTTGTCACCCACGTTCATGTTCAGTAAGCTGGTTTTTTGACAGTGGGATAAAAGGAATGTGTTTAAATCAGGTGTGTTTGTGTGCATGCTTATAGAAATGCAAAGCGATTCTTCTCTCAAAACACCTTAGTTAGTAAGAAAGGACCTGACCTGGTAGAAGTGTATAAAATAATGGAGGAAATGGATAGAGAAAAGCTCTTCTCCCTCTCTCAAAACACTAGAACTTGTGGACGTCCAATAAAGAATGTTTGGAAGATTCACGACAGGCAAATTGAAGTGTGTCTTAACACAGCATGTAGTGAAATTACAGAACTTGCTCCTACAAGATATACTCTTGGATGGCTTTAGAGGAGGTTTTGAAGAGAAGGCAAATCATGGATACTAGCCATGATTGCTGTATACTATCTCTACTGTGGAAGGCTGTATGTTTCTGAATGCCTTGGCCTGATCCAGCAGAGCTCCTCTTATGTTCTTGAGTGTATCAATCAAGGTCCAAGCTTGAGACCCTTAAAAATGACATTGAGTGCTCAGAAGAAGTAGAAAAAGAAGAAGCATGTAAGGTAAATTGGCACAGACCTCCTTGTTTCTTTACACCAATTTATTGTGCCTCCAAGACTCAGGCTTTCAAAAAGAAAAAAGAAAAGAAGAGACTCTTCTGTATTGTGATGGCAGATATAAATGGGTGGATGGAACGGAGGACATGGAGCTTGACTTAAGATGGCTGGTGTTGGGAGAGAGGAAGGGGCACAGCAGGCACTGGACTGGGGTACAGAGCTCTCTAGGGCCACCAGACTCCCAGACCCCAGCCACTGGGAGGCATGCCCAGGCTCTCACTCATTTCTGAGTGTGCAGATGCTGCCCACATTTCCCCCCGTTTTACTTGGTGAACTACAAGGGCAGAGAAGTTGCATTTGGAAACCAATCAGGCGGCTAGGATTCCAGACTTGGTGCCAGATCCCGTGTTTATGCTGAAGTTATGACACTTCCGTTCCAGCAAGCTTATACCCGGAGGCAATATGGGTGTCTTTTCGAATGGGCTAGGGATGTGGCTCACACACTTTGGGGACATTTAAAGAGAGGCCATGGCTTGGTGTGTCTATAAAGTAAGAGCTGACTAGGTTTGGTGGTGCCGATAACTTCTTCCCAGGGTTGACTACGGCCCTTCTGGTTCTGGAGTGTAGATGACCAAGGGTTGGCTGTTCCTGCCCTTATCGTGCCAGCAGACATCAAAGAAGGGGTAGACAGTGCCCGTGAAGCGCTCGTGGAAGGCAAACATGGGAACCAAGTTGTCTTCATCACTGGCATCATAGAAGGCAAGGATGCCGTCATCAAAGCTCAGGTAGACGCCGATACGGCAGGGCTTCCCCTCCAGCTTCAGCGACTGTGGGTCCTTGTGTTCCACATGGGCCTCGTATGTCTTGCCTTCCTTGCAGCCCACCAGCCAAAAGCCATTGGAGGGGTGGCATGGAGCCGGCCCTTGCGCCCTGCCTCGGCCGAGATGAGGCCCAGAGCCCAGCGGGGCTTGTCGCTCACTATCACCTCCCAGTAATGCTCGCCTTGCGAGAAGCTCTGGTGCGACACCAGGCAGTTGGACTTATCGAAGCGCTGCGGGTCATCGGTGCTCACGGCTTGCTTGTGCTCCACGCACTCCACTCGCTTGCCGTTCTCGTTCACCACCAGGTTAGCTTGGGCCGTGTCTGGGTCAAAGGTGAGGTTCTCCAAGGCTGGGGAGGAGGAAGAAGGTGAGGTCAGGGGACAAGTGCAGCTATGGACATCTGAAGCTGACTAGCAGGTGCTCTCTGGGGAGATGCTACCAGAGATTGAACCTGGACCTTCTACATGCCAAGCAGATGTGCTACCACTGTGCCATGACTTTTCCCTTCATTTACTTTTCTTAAGGCAAGGAGTAAATCCACAGATGGGATTTCCATGCTTTATTTTTGGAACAAAAATACTTGGAATCATATTGCTCATTTTAATGTGCTAAGTTGCACAATGCACCACAAAGGGATGTTGGTTTTTCGGTTGTGAGGGGAATTTGACTGGTCTTACAGATGCTGCAAGATATGTCATTTCCTTTGCATAGTTTTCCTGATCAAGATCACCCCTCTCAAAGGTGCTATTAGTGCAGTTTGATGGAGTGGGGGGGGGAGATGAGCACAATAAATACCTGTTCCCCCTTCTAGTCGCATCTAGGAGGGGAGTCAATGTAGGACAGGGAAACAGCAGGGAATGAGACACCACTGCTGTATGCAGAACTTCAGCCTCCCTTAGCTGCTTTTAGTATTAAAAAGTCAAAGGACGTCCAGTCATGGCACTCTTGATTCACTCCTAAGATTTCTGGTGCTTCAAGGGTAAAGCTGCAGTATCCTGCTGAGTCCCTTTCTCCTTTCACTGATTGGTCAATGTAGAAACCAATGAATGTATGCAGATTTACTGCATTTGCATAATTTATCTGAGCTGCAGGTATCAGCTTCCCCAGGTGTGGAATATGGGTTACCTGGATGCAGTTTTTTAAAAAACCTTGTTCAGAAAAGTACACATAGCCTTGTCCAACAGCTCCTCCCTCCTTGGCTCTCTACCTGGCATGAGTGCACGGAACATCTTCCTCCAGACTTGGAACTTGAACTCATCTGAAATGATGGGGAGTTGGATGTCCATGCGAGCAATTGGAGGGGACTCTCCAAGAATCTTCTGCAATCTACAGAAAGGAAAAGAAGGTGTGCATTGGGGGTGGGGGAATAGAAATCCAAATTGCCACTCCCCACCTCCAGAAATTCAAGGGCATCGTTTTTCCTCTAAACTTCCACACTGCTATTTTAAAGCTCTGCACCAATGGTTCCCAAATCCCTCCCTGCCATGGACCACTTGAAACTTGCTGAGAGTCTTGGCAGATGACTAAGTTATTTGTCTGCCTGCTGGAGCAACTGTAAAGTGCTGTGCTCAGTGCTGTATGGTTTTTAATTGTATCTTAACTGCTTATTTTATTTCTTGTATTGTACAGTGGTACCTCGGGTTACATACACTTCAGGTTACATACGCTTCAGGTTACACACTCCGCTAACCCAGAAATAGTGCTTCGGGTTAAGAACTTTGCTTCAGGATAACTACAGAAATCGGGCTACGGTGGCGCGGCGACAGCAGGAGGCCCCATTAGCTAAAATGGTGCTTCAGGTTAAGAACAGTTTCAGGTTAAGAATGGACCTCCAGAACGAATTAAGTACGTAACCCGAGGTACCACCATATTGTCATTTGAATTCCATAGAATTCAAATTGTAAGTGAACTTCACACACACATTGAGGACCACCTGAATGAAGCTTGCGAAACCATTGATGGTCCATGGACCACAGTTTTGGGAACCCTGCTCTGCTCTGCACATTCAGGTTCTGAAGATTTTCAGCAGTGGAAAGAGCATCCCAAAATGCTGGTCAGACAAAGGTTTTGCAGAAGTACAAATAAATATAAGTAAAGAAATAGCCAAGAGAGGAAAGCCCTGCAAACAACCAAATGAGGACTGAGCATTCTCACTGGGCACAGAATGCAGTCTCTCTCTCTCTCTCTCTCTCTCTCTCTCTCTCTCTCTCTCTCTCTCTCTGTGTGTGTGTGTGTGTGTGTGTTTTAAACAGAGAGTAAGGAGAATGAAACATTTTTGAAGATAGCAGAGCTGGGGGATTGGCTGGCATCCTGAACAAGCACATTCCACACTGCATTCCATTATAATGCAGGTTTCAACACAGTATTCAAGTAAAACAAGTGTAATGCAAAAGAAAACCTGTCATATTGAGGATCAAATTGAACTAGAATGGTGTTCAGATTATTGGAAAGCACCTGAATGTGCTTACATCAAGAAAAAGCAGGGCTTTTTCTTCCTGCAGCACCTCTCAGGTGGGCACCATTGCCATTCTCAGAGAACAAGGGAAGTTTTCATGGTGAGTTCCGGCACCTCTTTTTCTAGAAGAAAAAAGGTGAGTTTTTGTTGCAAAGAGTGGTATGGTGAAAGGTGACTGACTTAATACAAAGCTAGGTTGTCTCACTGTGTTACAGTGGTACCTTGGGTTAAGTACTTAATTTGTTTCGGAGGTCCATTCTTAACCTGAAACTGTTCTTAACCTGAGGTACCACTTTAGCTAATGGGGCACCCGCTGCCACTGTGCCGCTGTAGCACGATTTCTGTTCTCATCCTGAAGCAAAGTTCTCAACCCGAGGTACTATTTCTGGGTTAGCGGAGTCTGTAACCTGAAGCCTCTGTAACCTGAAGCGTCTGTAACCCAAGGTACCACTGTAAGCGGTTTTAAAAATACATTGAAATTTCGTGGAAAACATGGCCTCCATGGGGCTGTCCCTGAATAAGTTTGGCCCAACTCATAGCTGCGGACATGCCTTAGACCTGGTGCTCACCTCAATGGATGTTGGTGATCTGACATTAAGTAAAAGTGAAACAAAAGAAGTGCCATGGTCAGATCACTTCCGGATGTTGGTTGTAATACTCACTTCATTACAAGTCAGTTAGGTTTGCATTCTGAGCCAAGGAATTGAAAACAAGAAGGCAATGTTTTGAGGCTAGAATGAAGCAGTTGGCATTAAGACTCATGTCTGACTGGTGAATTTGCAGAATGGCACTGGGAAATTCATGATCATGCCCAACTTTGTATGCAGCAGTCTTGCATGAGAGATCTTTTCCTGATAACAGGAAAAGTTTGAGGTTGCTCCAGTAACAACAAATGCAAATAAAGCTGTTTGCATATGCAAAACAAACATGGCAGGGAGATGGCATAATCTCAAGCCACTTGCCATCTAAGTGGTGCAGTTTGGGGTGGGGGAGGGGAGAGATTAAATCTCCATTAGCATATGTAGATTTGGTGTCAGTCTGTGCTCCTGGGAATAATGGGGATAATAATGACTGACTTCACCGAGCAGCTGAGCAGACAAAAAAAGAGCTGAAAGGCTCTTCACACACAGTGATATGGAGATTTGGTTATATTTATCATTCTGGCCCAAATCACCAACCATTGCTCCAAACTGAGGGAAATAGCAGCCATGATAATCAGGCATCACTAACTGTATAGAAAAAGTCTGGATCCTTAATTTGAATACATTTTATTTCTTTTGTATGAATATCACCTTTTTCTGCTAAGGCAGAACAAATACATGATATAAAGTAGACCCAAGGTTTTCAGTCCAAATTGAAGATGGCTCCACAAAAATGTCATCTTTGTCTTCCTGCTCTCTTGCTCTTTTTTCTATTCAAGAAATTTGTTAGTCACTTTATCTTGCCCACAGCATCCTAAAGTACCTTACAACCAACCAACCAATCCAAAACCCACACACAGATACATTTAAACCAAGAGGGAAAAGAAATATACTGAAAACATTCCACAGGACAGATGGTGATGTTGAGGTTCATTCTTTTTTTCAACGGACTTTTTTCAGTCACTCTCTTGAAGCGAATATGAATGGATTCCAACTTCATTGACTTAAACATACATTAAAGGAAGATTTAAGGCTTCTTGAGCCTTCGACCCTTTCAGTGATCATTAGTGGATAGAACAAATAAGCAGGTTTGACTGATGACTGACTCGAAACCTTGAATTTCATTGGGAATGAAGGATGGATTTCTGTAATTTATTTATTTTTTAGCGGTTGCTTGATCAATCCTGTTACTTTGAGAATAGTAATCAGCCAGGATCAGGGAAATGCTTGAACACCCTGACCACAAGCTCATACCCAACCAAGTAAAGTTGTGCGAGAATGAACCATAGTGAGCTGTGGAGGTGCTCCAAACTGTTTCCTCCCCTCTTCACTTGGTGTACATGTTAGGACATCAGAAGTTTCTGGAATTCAGCCATGATGCCGGCGAGTTTTCTGGCCATCTGAAATAGCTTCAGTTGGAGAGGTGGTTCGGCTGCAAATCACTAAAAAAATGGTCTGGGAAATCTGGCTGTATTGCAACCCGTGTCAGCAGTAATCAATCAGTATCATTTTTGCTGCCTCTTCCTCCCCCCCCCAAAAGAAAAGCGTCAAGCACTTAGTTTAGGATTTACTGCATTTAATTGGTCTAAGGAGAGTAGGGGAGCCTGGTGGCACTGTGGGTTAAACCTTACCAGAGCCTAGGGTTGCTGATCAAGAAGGTTGGGTGCTGTTTGGAGATCCCACAATGGGATTGAAGCTGGCAAATGCTTCGGGTCGTGTCCCTGCTGCCCTACACCTAGAGCAGTCGAAAAGCACGTGCAAAGTGCCAAGTAGATTAATAGTACCTGGTCTCCGGGCAGGAAGGTAAACGGTGTTCTTTCCGTCACTGCGTCGGTTACCAGAAGCGGTCTCAGTCATGTTGGCCACATGACCCGGAAGCTGTTACGCTCAGCTCTCTCGGCCTTGCAAAGCGAGATGAGCGCCACAACCCCAGAGTCGTCCTGCGACTTGGGAACTCTTAATGGGTCAGCGTCCGTTGGTACCTTTAACCTTTATGTCTAAATTATGGTATAACACTTAGCCATGTTTGTTGAAGAAGCGGTGTTTCTCCATCACGGGGGAAGCACGTGTTGCAGTTGGGTGATTACCAAGAACACCTGTGCTGTTTCTGGGCGAGATGGTTGCAACTCGTAAGTCAGGGCGGCTTGTTCTGGGGAAGAATTAGATGTTGCCAAAGTTTAGTGATTGCAGCCCTATTTGTTCAATACAAGGTACGCAGCAATGGCCGTCCTCTTTCGCTGGACGTGCTTCTGGATCACCCGCCCTCCTTCCCTAAGTGTTAGGCTGTTTGCTTGCCCTTGCCTAATTGGCCCTGTCATTCGGGGTTGTGCTGCTATTGGGGGCAGGGGCCCTGCAGTAATTTTTGCCCAATTTTGCCGTGATTAGTGTGTGCACGTTGGTTTCGCCTACTTGTCGTAGCAAATTGTCACAACTTGTAAGTTTGCAGTTGAGGCATTGGTCTGGATTGGTGTCTGGAGGGGTAGGATCAGCTGTGCCTGCCCCCAAAATGCTGCGCTGGTGGGGGGTATGATCTCAGCTATGCCTGCCCTCCCAAAATTGCTGCTGCTGAAGGTTTTAAACCGCTTAAAGGAACCCAGGGCTCCCCCATCACTTTGGTCCGAGACCCCTTGGCACGGGCCTAGGGCACGCAAAGCCCCTGGAGCTATGCTGGGGAGAGGGAGGCATGGTCCCAGTCCCGTCTCTCTCCCCAGGTTGACTTATCCCTTGGCTGACTTCCCACCGGGGGATGCGGATGTCTGAGCTGTCCCTGTGTGAGGGGGCATTTATAGTGCTACCCAACATGCTAAGCAACAACTTACATTGCTGTATTATGGAAATAAAGGTGTGGCCAAATTTATGCCAAAAAAAGTTAAACAAAAATTAAGTGTCAAATGTGTTTCTCTTGGGGTTATTGGGGACTCGACAGGCAAACAGCCAACTGCATAACTGAATGTTCAAGAGCCGGCTTATCTCTTCAACGAAATTATTCATTAAGGCTGACCACAGTCCACTTACTTTGTCAGGTTTGGAAAATAATGACAAACTGCCAATGTTAAGAGAAAAAAAGAACCCGAAAGTTTTTGGTTTCTTTGTGGTGATTGGAAGCAGCTCCCTGTGAAGTGTGAGCTGTTAATGTATGGCAGAAGCGAATCTCTTGCATATGCCCCTAATGATGCTGCATGGGTTGTGTAAAAAACAACGCACAGCCAGTTGTGCCATTGTTTTATGCTCAACTGTATTAATACAGCGAATAGACGGTCGCCATGGCCTGGAGCAGGTAGCGATAGTTACAAAGACCTCTCTCTTTCAGCTACAGGTAATACAACAGCCACCATATTTCTCTGTCAGTTCAATATCGAAGGATGTCAGTGCAGCACAAAGTGGTTTGGACATGCATTCTCACTTGTAGCTCGACTCAGTATTGCACGTTTCGCTTTTTGTTTGCGTTAGCTGAATCAAAACACTTTTTGAAAAAGCTTCAATAATGGGCAAGTTTTTTAAACTAATGAAAGCTATCCGTTTTCTACGCCAGATCCAATTTCTTCTTATTGTTTCATCCTCAGCATTCGTCATTTCATGTGACCAGATTATCTGGAGATCGCTCAAGTTGTTCAATATATTGCCTTGCCCCCTTTAGTTGGTGATTCCGTTTCTGTATAGAGTCGTTTTAATTTTAATGAATCTGTAATGCTGCCCCCTTAAATTTTCAGGGCTATGACATAAAAAGATGAGAGAGAGAGGAGTAGGGACACCTAAACAATGATATTTTTTATGGTAAAG